CAAATATTTTTGCCCAACAGCTAATCATGTGACGCAGGATGGAGCTGCTCCCGCGATAGTGCGGGAAAATTCTGCAGGCGAGTGTGAGAAAAGCCAGCTGGCTGAACCAGCTGGCACAAGGCACCCGTCCAGCCCCCCCACAGGACTCCCCCCCCCCAGGCCGGCGGCGGCTTATAGAGGGGGCAGCAATGCTGCCAGCCCCTTCTCCCACTTTCCATATACACTCTTCTTTTTATGGAAAGCCTTTAATGGCTATTTTCTGGAGTATTCCCACCTTCTGGTGGGAGTTTCATTTCCTTCTTCTTTTTTTCTCTCCTCCAACTGGAGTCTATATATTGCTGTTTTCAGAGATTTAGGGTTTGGTTTTTGCTGTGTTTGCTTTCAGGTTCTTGTGTGGAGTTTTTTTTCCAATAGGGATGTATCCGAGGAGGTGGTGGTGCTACGGCTATATCCTACTTCCGGGTGGTGCTATATCTTCCTTAATATTTTATCCTACCTTCTCCTACCTTCCCCATTCCCAATTTTCTGCCAGCCACTTTTGGGCCTTCCTGGCGGCCGGCCAGCCACATTATGACAGCAATTTTGCTGTCCAGCTATCAGTCCATTACTCCTGCACTTTGCTGCCCCTTACCTACAACCTTATATTGTTGTCCAGCCCTCCTACCTTCTTCCCAGCCCTCTCAACCCCCTGTTCCTAATTCCATTGCAGCTGCCTTGCTGCCCCGCACCTCCCGAGCACCCACTGCCTGCTGTCGATCACGTTCAACCATGCAGTTCTGCACCTCGCCCTCGCTGCCACTAATACTCATGTGCTGCCACCACCCCTGCTAGTCATCCCGATCCACCTAGCCGATCTTCGTCACCATTGGAATACACTTAGAGGTGTTTGCTTGTGTCATTTTATGTTTTGTACTGTTATCTTCAGTTTGTTTTGCATTGCAACCTTTTCTCTATATTAATAAAGGTTTGCTTTGTGTGTTTCCACTGTTTTTTCCACTTTGTCCGGTATCATATTTTTTTCATCCCTAAATTTGTGTTTCTCCATTTCTATTGTATTTGTCCAAAGTATTTAGAGGTAATTTTTCAGTCATATCTTAATAAATGCCTCTACCTTCATCTTTCTAATTTTGGCATTTCTAGTTCTTATTGTCAATTGTTCGCCAATATAGTAATTTTCTCTGTTATTTTTGTTAGTTTTGACACATTTATCTTAAGATTCCCATGTTAGTTACACTTAATTTGTTTATAAGCGATTACTTTATCTATCAATGCTAGATCCATATTGTGTAGCCAATCTGATTTTAATTTTGTAAAATTTAAAATATTTCTCTATGATAATTTCTTATTAATTTGATCATTACCACCTGGAAAAATTCATAAATAAATAAAGCAGTAATCTGTTGTAATGTCAAAGCAGGATGGATACTCGATCATGAAATGATGTTTTTATTTGACATTCCAATAATATGATGATGTTTGTTTTAGTATGTTTAAATATTTGTTCAAACTTATGACAGTCTGGACTAGTCTTGCTTTCTTTTATTTCAGCTAGAAATGTCTTGGACATATGAGATTTGCATGAATGATCAAAACATGATATTGAATGTCAATTAGTGTTGAATTTGGTGGAAGAGTCTTCAATATGCCAAAGGAGGCTTGGGGAGAATTCATTTCTTTGTGCTATGTGTTTTGTGAATGTGTACTATGTTTTGAAAGAGAATATACTAAATAATCCTTGTAAACTTCAAAATTACAGAAATTGACCCGAAGGAAAACAGGAAGTAAGCTAACCCACATCTTCTCTAGTTATTTGCCTCAAGGTTTCTATGGCACCTTCTGATTTCTCGGATAGGTAATTATTTTTTCTTTTCTTTTGTTTCTTTTGTCTGCTCCCAGTTTTGCTATCTATTATCTTCAAAGAATTCAACTGCTTCACATTATGATGATTGTTTAAATTGCTTAGATTTATTTTTTGATTTCTTTTCAGAAAGACCATAGAGGAGAGACGAAATAGAGGGCCTCCATTTATCTTATTACTGCCTCTTATCTATGCCCCTATTCTTCCACTTAGTACGTTATCTGGTCTAAATTCTTGTTTTGACGGGATATTATTTGTTTGCATTTCATTTGCGGTGCCTAAATTCTATGCATGCTCATCTTACCGTGTCCTGTTTTTCATTGTTTGAAATTAACAGTTAGAATTGGCCTGAGGCGTAGGCCGGTGTTAAGGGATAGACTGTTCTTTGGGGTGCTTGCCGGTGCCTTTGCTCACGGCACATATTTGGTGTATCCTACTCAATTATTGTTAATGTTTTGTTTTTCATGGTTTAGAACTTTAATCTTCTTCCAAGTTATTGTCTTCACTCATATATTTTTGTGTTTATTATTGACTTGATTTTTCTGCATCATGAAATTTAGATATGCTTATATTACCTAGGGATACCATTTTATTTGATGGCTGTAAATTTTAATGAGCATGCACTAGTTATTATTTGCGTTGTTCAATATTTTATCTATTATTCTCTAGCAAGTTTGTTGTGGTGTTAACATAGAAATATGTTTTATTTTGCTAATGGTGAACCATTCTTAGAGTATTTTTAGGTATTTCTTCATGCCTTTGTTTTTCTGGTGGCATTCCATTTGCGAAAGAGGGAGGGAATGAGTTGGGAGGGATCATATTGTTTATTATTCATTATTCAACTGTGCATTTCATAGAAAAATGTCATACAACCTTCATGTTAATGTGTATTTTTAGAGTTTTTCGTTGCTCTATTTCTACAAGTTATTCTCGTATTCTTATATTTTATGCTCTTATGTTTGCCTACATGAATTATGAAGCAATGTCCTTGAATACTTGCTCTCAAGATTAGGTTTGAATACTACTATCTTTTTTGAAAGTTTCAATGAGCTAAACATGAATATGTTGTGGTCTTGCTTTGCTCCGGTCATTTATTATTAGTTCACATATGAACACGCTTACGTCCATTTGCTAAAAAAAAACCACAATCTTGTTTGTCTTATTCTAAATTAAAAAATAATGATAAGCCAAGCTGATGATTAAGTGCTTCAATAATTTTTTGTTTAATTGATAACTATATTTGCATGATGAACAACTTTTATAATTTTTTAATATAGTATGTTGGATTCAAATCTGTTTATGGTTAATGAAAATATTCTATTAGCAATACTTGCAAAGTTTTATTAAATAGAATGATAAATCTAAGAAAAATAATAAGAACAAGAAAATGAAGAAATAAATTCTTAGAGAGAAGCCCTGAGATTTTATTACTAGTTTTAAGCATCCTCTAACGACCAAAAATTGTCATTTGACCATTAATTTATAGGGTTTTGGTGTTATAGAAAAAAATATATTTTGACTATAAAAATAAATACAAAACTATATTATGAGACTTTTATATACATGTGGAAATACTCTTGAGAATACATGACAACTGTTCAACTTATTATTGGCAGAAGTTGTTGGTTAGTAGCCAAGGTTGATTTATCTTGATTTATCAATGAAGGCGTTAATTCTCTAGGTGAAGGTGCCGACATTTTGATGAAATTGTTTACCTTGGTTGGACGTTCGCAAGTAGTTCTTAGCCTTGGGTGAATAATCTTTGCGCTTGGGTGAATTGGGTCTTGATTAGTAGGCTTGGTGATTGGGCGACTAGGCCTTGGAATTGGGCTAGTAGGCTTGGCGAGGTCCCATATGCTTTTATTATTCTATCATAGACTTACCAAGTTTCTTGAGGTTCGATGAGCATGTTGTCCTTACCAAGGTCAAACTTGTCTCGAGTCGGTCATAATCAAATCGTTTCTTTGATACATTTGGGTGTATATTTAGTATTCTGATTTTTTACATCTTTGGAAAGTGTCTTATAAAAAACTCAAGATAATTAAATGCCATAATTATTTTTATTAAATAGTAGGGAGAAAGCAATAGAAATTCTACTATTCGGATGAGCCATTGCATTGGAAATGATACTTATTTATCATTTTATTGATGGCGTTGGTTTGATTGGTGCACATATCATCCCTTATGATTAACTGTAAATATAAATGGAATCCTCTCATTTGAAGGTCAACTCCCTTTATCATCGTCTTCTTCCTTTTAACTCTTTAACTTCTTCACTTGCTAAATTGCAACGAGTGATACCCAACATCAACCCCATCCACAGTTGGAAAAACCAGTAGGAGCTCGCCTTGGGGTGTGGAGAAAGCTAGTTCAGATAAGGATAGATCCAACCTTAGTGAGAAGAAGTCTGAAAAGAGTAACACGCTTACTACAGTCCCTGCCAAAAAATATTTTAGATGTCACGGATTTGGACACATTGCCTCCAGATGCCCGACGAGTCGAGTTGTATCCTTTACTGACAGGACGTCGTAGAGGAGGTTAGTGACGAGGAGAAAACTGAGGAATAGGGTGAGGTGTATCATTTTCCACCGGATGAAGGAGAGTCACTCATGGTTCGACGGGTCCTACAAGCTGAGGATAAGAGGGATTCAAAGTGGCTTCGACGCAATATATTTTACACTTGTTGCACTGTGAACGGGAAAGTATGCAGTCTCATCATGGATGGAGAGAGCAGCAAGAAGCAGCAAGACATGTCATCTATGCAGATGGTAAAGAAATTAGGTTTCATGACCCAAAGGTACTCTCACCCATATTCTCTGACATGGTTGAAGAAGGAGAACAGAGTTAGCATTGATCGGAAGTGCTAGTGGAGTTTTTGATCGGGAGCTATTACAGGAGGATTTCTGCCACATTTTGTTGGGGAGACCGTGGCAATTTTACTGGAAGACTCAACATGACTTATTCAGAAACACATATTCCTTCACCAAGTATGAGAACCACATCATCCTACTTCCTTCGGCGGAGCCCGAGATCACAAGAGCTCTTATCAGCAGAGCAACATCGGTGGAACCCGTTTTGGTGACGACAGAGGATGATAGGATTGAGACACTAGTTACATGCACGAGACATGCTTGACAAAGAGCATTTCAGAATGTCATGGTCGACACCTCACCACTAGTGCCACCACCATGAGCGAAGTTTCAAGGTACCCCTACTTAGATCTGCTTAATCCGACCAGGGAGTAGTTTGAGATTATTCAACAGCAAAATTGAGACACGCAGAATCAATTCAGCTCAGTAATAGACTCCCAGAAGATTGGATCGATGTGGATGTTTGCTGGTAAGTTGGGAACCTCTCAGGTATCTTGTAGGACAGTGCAGTTGCCACTAGGATTGTAGACGAAGAATTTGAAGCTTCGACGAATGAATTCAAAGCTCTCCCAACCCTAAGAGGCTGACGCAGAGCTATGGAGACAGACTTGGACGAGGCAAGCGAGATGCAGGTGATGCAGAGCCTGGGAGGCATTACACGGGATTTGGGTTCGGCTAGTTGGATGGACGACTAAATCGGTCAGGATGGATCCAATCCCCTGTTGGACTGTCCGATCTTCTCAGGAGCGAGAGATACCACGTCTCCCCCCTCCAGGCGTCTTTCTGCCGCCCTTCCACCCTTTTTTTCTGGTTGCCGCCCAAAAGGGGGTCCTTCCCTTCCTATTTTATCTATTAGCTAATACATATATATATATATA